CTGTTCAACATCTCTCGGTTTCAACTCGTACGGCATCCAATTTCCTTGCTTCTGAATCATTGTCTTTGAGGCGTTTTGAAATTGCTTGTTGAGTCACTCCCAATGATCGTGCCATTTCTTCTTGACTTTGACTCGAGTCTTCATTAAGTAATGCCTCCAATTCTGCATCTTCGAAAACCTTCTCTCTTCCACCGCTATGCCGGTCTTCGACGTGAAAATCACTGTTCTTGAAGCGTTGAAACCACTCACGACACGTTCTTTCACTAATAGCGGCCTCACCATAAGTATTTGAGAGCATTCGATGAGCCTCAGCCGCAGATTTCTTCATATTGAAGCAGAAAATTAAAACCTTCCGCAAATTACGAGAATTTGGCTCGTAAACTGACATTTTCAATCGAGAATAACTTTATGATGCAGACACAAATCGACTAATGTTTCTATGGGGTTATGTTGACAGATGCCCAAGTCTATTGCATGACGTCTATGATCTATTTATTTCGAACACTACTTACCGCTAAAGCCATCTATAGGAAAACGGCAAAGTTGTATACCAGTAGGTGAGATAGGCCGCCGCTAACTCACTTTTACAATGAGAGCGAGAGAGATGGATAGAGAGATAGAAAAGGATAGAGATATGAGTTAGAACAGTTTGTAGACGACCGAGGGGGGAAGCGCGGACAGGGGGAGAGGAGGGGGGTATGTAGGGGGGAACAGTCAATTTTTCCGGATCTTGCGTATCGCCCGCTGCGTAAGACCCACAAAAACCCGACCGCTATAGCAGCCGCGGGATTTGACGAGACGACGCCGAAAATAGGGAATGGCGCGAAAAATCGAGCGCGGGGAAGAACCAACGCGCCCGCCACCGCTTCAGTTGCCGCTGCGATTCCACCGAGCTCTTCAACTACGGTCAAATCCACCAATTCCTCCACCCCCGGTTCTGGTTCGAACACCAAGTGCTGGAACTGCGGGAAGATAGGGCATTTCGCGAGAGAATGCGAAGAAAGAAAACGCGTTCATTGTTATTGGTGTGGCAAACCGAGCGTTACTGTAAGGACGTGTCCCGCGTGTGCGGGAAACAAGGAGTGGAGTCGATAAAACGGGCCCCAATGACTCCGGAAATCTCAAGGGGTGCCCCCGTTGCACCCGAAGGCCGGGAAGCCTCCAGTCTCTCGTATACGTGTAGTCTCGTGTATCATGGGAATAGATTTTTTGTGCAAGTTCGGTATTAGACTAGATTTTGCGACGACCGAATGGTACTTTGCGGAGGAGCCCGCGGTGAGGTATAATTTTGAATCACAGAGCGAAGCGCCGACCGTGTGCAGTGGACTCCCTGATTTAACGCCCTCACAGACCAAATGATTGGAAAATTTTTTGAAGGGTAGAATACCAGAAACGGTAACTAACCCCGGTGTCACTTCTCTAACAGAACATGAAATAGATGTCGGTTCGAACCGACCTATAAAACAAAGGTGTTATTTAGTTTCGCCTAAAGTACAAGAAGCGATTTGTAATGAAGTCGATAAGATGTTAGGTGCCGGTATTATCGAACCTTTGAATAGTTAGTGGTCGAATCCGATCGTGATGGTAAAAAAGCCGAACGGAAAATATAGATTTTGTTTAGACTTCCGAAAAGTAAATAACGTTTCGAAAAAGGACGCATATCCGTTGCCAAATATGAATGGTATATTAGACAAGCTAAGATAAGCTCGGTATATTTCCACGATTGACTTAAGCCAGGCGTACTTCCAAATACCCGTGGCGAAAGAAAGTCGGGAAATCACTGCCTTTAGCGTCCCAGGAAAAGGCTTATATTATTTCACGCGGATGCCATACGGATTAACGGAAGCGCCCGCGACTTTCCAGCGCTTATTAGATAAAATAATCGGGCCGGAAATGGAGCCTCATGCGTTTGCATATCTCGATGATATCGTGATAGTAACGCCAACTTTTGAAGAACATTTAGAATGGCTCGAGAGCGTGCTAACGAAAACCTTTGCTGCCGATCTCACGATAAATCCGGAGAAATGTGAGTTTTGTCGCTCGCAGGTTTGATATCTTGGATTTATCGTACAACGAGACGGGCTTACGGTAGATACAGACAAAGTTCAGCCAATACTAGACTATCCAGATCCGCTCAATATCAAGCAAGTACGTAGATTTTTGGGCATGTCGTCTTGGTATCGTCGGTTTATACCACAGTTTGCAACAATTAGCAAACCGATAACCCGGCTTTTGAAAAAGGGTCAGCGCTGGGAGTGGGGGGATGCGCAGTGTCGCGCTTTTGAGCAAGTTCGTTCGCAATTAGTTACCGCACCTACGTTATCGTGTCCGGATTTTAAAGTTCCGTTTGTTTTGCAGACAGACGCAAGTTCGGTAGGAATAGGAGCCGTGTTGACACAAAATATAGAGGGAACCGAACATGTCGTAGTTTTCGCGAGTCGAGCTCTAGCAGATCCCGAGAAAAAGTACTCAGTTACTGAATAAGAGTATTTAGCGGTCGTATGGGCCATTAAGTAGTTTAGGCCGTATTTAGAGGGATATAAATTTACGGTCGTGACTGACCACAGTAGCTTACGTTGGCTACATAATCTTAAAAATCCGACGGGCAGACTCGCGAGATGGGCTCTAGAACTCCTAGAGTACGATTATGAAATAGTCCATCGTAAAGGCGCATTGCATCACGTACCGGATGCGTTATCACGTATGTATGAGAGTGACACCGAGGTGAAAATAATGGTTGCCGTAGAGGCGGACATTATCGCGAATACGACCGACGCTTGGTATCGCAAACGTTGCGGAGAGGTCGCGAATGGACCTCGACGTTTTACAGATTGGCGAATACTAGATAATTAATTATATTATTGCAGGCCCAAAGCTATTGTATCGGATATTGTGGAGGACTTAGACCGATGGAAACTGGTACTACCGAAAGAATTGAGGGAAACAGCGCTTAGAGAGGCACACGACACACCGCAGTCGGGACATTTAGGGGTGGAAAAGACGTTCCACCGACTGGCAGTTGCGTATTATTGGTCGAATATGTTTCGGGATACCGCGAAGTACGTTAAGCAGTGCGACGCATGTCAGCGTACCAAGGTCGAGCAAGCCAACTCGGTGGGTCTCATGGGTCACCGCGTCGTGGAAGGCCCATGGACCATGGTGGCTGCCGACATAATGGGTCCGTTTCCGAAAAGCAAGGCTGGTTTTGCGTATGTTTTAGTAGTGCAAGATCTATTCACAAAGTGGATGGAATGTTTTGCGTTAAGAGCCGCTAACGGCAAGAAAATTTGTGAGGCCTTGAGAGAAGTCATCTCGCGTTGGGGTACGCCAAAATTTTTGCTGACGGATAACGGCACGGAATTCGCAAATCAGACGTTGCAAGCGTTCTCGGAAGAACACGGGATAACCCACACGACGATTCCGCCATACCATCCGCAGGCTAATCCAGTAGAGCGCGTTAATCGAGTTTTAAAGACCATGATAGTTGCCTTTTTAGAGAGAGACCACAGGAAATGGGATGAGCATTTGCGAGATTTTCGCTTTGCGTATAACATTGCTCATCATTCATCGATCGGCACGTCACCGGCGCTTTTAAATCTCGGACGGGAGCCAACGCCAATAAACTCGATACGCGAGCGATGCGCGAACGTCGATGAAGTCGAACAACGCAATCCAGCGGAATGGTCCGAGAGAATGCGGAAAATGCAATCTTTGCACAATTGGGCGAAGGAAAATCTCGAGCGGGCCTATTAGAAGCAGTCCACTTATTACAATTTGAGACGTCGCGATATCGTATTTAGCGTCGGAGATCTGGTGCTAAAACTGCAACATGTGTTGTCATCCGCGGCACACAATATCGCAGCAAAGTTGGCACCGAAATTTCATGGCCCCTTTAGAATTAATAAGATATTGTCGAATGTCGTGTACGAGCTCGCGACTTTAGAAAGAAATATAGTGTAAAGCGCACGTAAAAGATCTTAAACCCTATCAACCTTTGCATCCTAGATAGTTGTCGACTGTGAAGAAGAATGGCCCATCAACAGTGGCGGCATTTCAGGACCAGGTATGCGGACCTGTTCCGACAGGTGAACCGAGAAAACTCGGGATTCCGGACGGAGCTACAAGATCATCTCCAGGAACAGGAACGGCGGCGCTACACAACGCGCGGCGCGCGGGTAATAGACTTCCCTAGCACCAGGGACCAGGAGACCCAGACAGGGTCACTGAACCCCTTTACCCGCGGGATGCTCGAACGGAGCCCCGCAGAGACACGGGACAGCAAGGCACAGACCGCGCCTGCATCGGTAGTTACCGTAGGCGTGCAAGCTGGACTACCCCCGGAATGCACCGCGGTCAGGCTCAGAAGTCACGAGGAGGGCTCCGCGCGACCGGGGGGCTGAGGAAGAGGCCGAGGTCCTATGCTTGGGCCAACACCCTCGGCGATGGGGGAACCCCGGCTTATCCGACCCCTATACCTGCGTCCGTTGACGCGCACTGTGGAAATTTCGCCCCGGACACCCTCGCCACCGACCAGCCCTCGGGCGGGAAGATCGCCCTGTAGGAGGCCCCCGCGGGAGAGGACGGTGGACAGAGACCAGCCGATCACCGGCGAGAAGACCCGGGCGAGGAGCCGACCGGTGCTGGAATTGCCGGTCAACCAGCCACCGCTACTCGAGCTGCCCTGAGCCACGGGGCAACACCTATTGCTATGGTTGCGATCGGGAGGGAGTCACTCTCCGAACCTGCCCTCGATGCGGGCCAGAATGGCTGGACCTAGGCCCCTACCATCCAGATAAGGGCCACTTGGGCAGGCATGGGCCCGCCCAATAGTTATAGTTGTCGTGGACCACGCTCCTATCTTCACCTCACCCGCGGAGACACCATGTACTTCTTATGTACTAAAAGGGAGAGGAAAAATATAGGAGACTAAGAAGGATCTACGCAAAACTAGTGTTGAGTTATTCCAT